AGTACTAACACAACAAGCTGTTACACGCACATCCACACCGGTGTCTAATTCAGAATCCCCAAATCAGCCACAGTCAGGTTCAGACACCAGGGCTCCTAACATCTCACGTGTGGCTTTGACTTCGCATTTTACCCACTGCACAGGAAACACTCAGCCTGAAACACCATCACGTGATCTGTGGTCTGCATCGTCGAGCCTCACTGAAGCACAGTGGATTGTTGTAACTGCTTCTAAAGAGTGTGTGTGTGTGCGTGTGTGTGTGTGTGTGTGTGTGTGTGTGTGTGCGCGCGTGCACTCAGAGTGCAGTGAAAGAGGGCTGTCCTGTGCTCTCGCAGTTCCCAGAAGGATTTCTGGGTAAGCTGCAGATCAGGAAGTCAGGAAAGGTGGAGCTGAAGCTGGGTGACATCATCATGGACGTCTCGGAGGGAGCTGCATTCTCCTTCCTGCAGGTAACGTGTTTGTGTTCTAACATTATTTTTGCATTGCAATCATTAACTAGTGTACCTAAGCAGATCTGTCAGACCTGTGTGGTCATGGATTACATATGATGCTCAAATTTCCCACCAAAAAAAGTTCAAATAAACAAAAGGATAATATGACACTACCTTTAGTTTTACATAGTATTACAGCAGGTTTAGACATTTTTATTATTGTTTCAGTCATGTGACCTTTGCAGTATAATTTGTGAGTTACAAACACCAAAAGCTGCAGACACCGGGGACCACGAGCTGGTGAGGCGTCCTCTGGATGAATGGGGAGGTTGCTCATCCAGTTTGGCCAGTGTCTGGTTAATGAGAGATCTCGTGTGAATAAATCTAAATGCCTCCACTTCCTCCATGACCTCTACTTTCTGTTTGTAACAGAGACTTGGCTAAGTGTCGGGGAGCGTCTCCCACCTCGTCCACCTGGATGTACACATCTAACTCTCCTATATGGTTATGGTTAATGTTAGCTGGAACAGGTGCACCACCTCCCTCACATTCACCAATATGAATGCTGGGGTGGGGGCGGACTAGGAGACTGTAACTACTCCTGCTTAATGGTTTACTGTCACATTAGCTAACAAAAGTGAAATGGTGACGTCACAGCTCCAGCCATGCACTGCACCTCCGCCGTGCACGGCTGGACGGACGGCTCTGCTTTGCACAGTTTGCATTTAACTTTGCTTTCTGTGAAATGCTTTCACATTTTTTAAAATCTCAGTTTCCGTTTTCTTCCGTCCTCCTACTTTGCCGGTCGCACTGTGTTCTTCTTCGTTGGTATTAAATGCAGTCTTGGCAGACAGTATAGGTGATACTGCCCCATAGCTGCCTGTAGTGTATTACAGTTATAAAAACACACGTATGACACGTCGACAAGTTTTTATAGTCAGTATCATGGATGTTGATGAATTGTTGCAGCCCTGCCTCCAGCTTTGACAGATGTCCACGTTTACTCAGGGCCTTGTTGACCTGATGTTCCTCCCTGCTGCTGTCTCTGTGGGGATGGTGTTCAGATTCAGAAGACTTTATTTATCCCCCAGGGGCAATTAAGAGACTGACCGTGCCGACCGTACTTGCAATACCCAAACATCATTGGGGAGACAGGTAGGTAGCTGGCCGGTCAGCAGCACGAGCAGCAACCCAGAACCGAACAATGGAAAAATGCACAACATGAGGAAGGACAAGGAGGAAAAAGAACTCCCCCCAGACTGAGCTCCAACAGGGAGGTCAGTTTGAGAACAGAAAAAAAATCACCTCAGCGCATAGCACATGAAAAGCTCTTAATACACCATAGAAACACATGACAAGCAACAGGGATGAGTAAAAGGAGAGAGCCGTGTAGACAGCACATCCGGGCCTGCAGCATATGTGCTGCTCCCCTTTGAGCCACCGTAAGCATCGGAGGCGTTTGGAAGGGGAGGGGGGATGAGTGTATGTCTGCATGGCTCTGTGTTGACACCCAGGTTGTGCTCCATTCAGTGACGAGGGTCAGACCTTAAATACTGATCCGAATGCTTCCTGGGGCTCATAAGTAGATTTTCTCCTGTTAGTCTTTCTGGTCTAGCAGAACTGTGCACCTACCCTTGTCTACTGGAAGGATGTTGATGTTTGTGAAGTAGTCAGACTCGAACGTCAAGGAAGGTGGTAGGGAAGCAGACTATGCCGACAGTTCAGGTTTCCAAGGTGAGCAATTTATTTACAGTGAACTTAATTTAACTTAACAAAACTTCCTCCCCAAATAAACTCTATTAACATAACATAACATAACATGGCTCTGGTGACACAGCTCACCTCTCCTCTCTCCTGCATCTGGTAGAGACTGGCTTTAAATAGGGCCATCAATTTCCCTCCAATTGCCCAGCCAGTACCACTCACTCAACTGAGGGATCTAAAACTCTACCCAGACTACACAAAACCTCTACAGACTTCTAATATGCACATTTACACAACTAAATGGCAGTCTTAACGAAAGGAAAAACATTCAACAAATCCCTTTAAACCTTAACGCAAACAAAAGGAAGCATCTCTGTGGAAAAACAAACCCCTCCACTTGGTTTGATCTGCTGATGTCATGTGTGACATCATCAGGACTTTAAAATGAGGAAATGCCAGGCGGGCGTTTCGCCACGCCTGACCCTCATGGAGACTGAAAAGACAAAGTAAGTATGAACAAATGACTTAATCTGTAACATAATAAAGTATAAAGAAACATGTAACTGAGTATTTGTCTTAATTTGCAGAATGTTTGATTTGCCGGCAACAAAACGCTTCCACAAACAAACCCGGGATAGTGAGTGAAGCAATGTTACTTGACAAATAGCAAACCATAGCAAATACATAGAAACAGAATAATGTGTACAATGTGCAAAAAAAGGTAAACACATATGGGACAAATGAAGAGCATTGCAACTGCTCCTCTGCTTTGTCACAATGTTGTTGTCATTACTAAGTGATGTGAGTGCCTCCCTCTCGTCCATGCTGATGTTGGATGCTGGCTTTGCATTGCTGCTCTGCTTCTACAGCTGTAGCGTTGTTGTTTCTGTGGCTGGGATCAAAGTTCAACCCTTTTGAAAGGATGTGATCAGTCTGTGTCATCCTCGGTGGGGCGTCCTTCTCTACACGTTAGACCAAACCCCGAGCCTTGGCTGAATGATATCAGTCAAGCTGCCACACGAGGAAGGATCAGCTTCAGGCGTCTCACGGTGTTCTTAGTGAACGTTGGCCCTACTGTCAAAGCTGAAGACAGGAAACATTTCACTGATATTTAAAATACTTCTCACAAACCTCATGTCCTTCAGTACAGTTGATTATTATCTGAAACCTTCCAGTACACACTGTTTGATGCTTCTTCTGAAGAAGGTTGCCACATTCAGAGAACATACAGTGGCTTGCAAAAGTGTTCGGCTCTCTTGAACTTTCCCACATTTTGTCACATTTTATTGGAATTCCAGGCGAAAGACCAACACAAAGTGGTGCACACGTGAGAAGTGGAACGAAAATCATACGTGATTCCAAACGTGTTACAAATAAATAACTGCAAAGTGGCGTGTGCGTAATACAGCAAGCCACTGTATCTGCTCAGAGGCTGAGGAGCAGCACTGACAGCAACACACGGGCGTCCACGGTGAAGGAAAACAACCATTCGTTACGTCACTACCTATTCACACGCCATCTCTCCCTCTTTCTGCAGCAACTGGTGTCTGTGCGTCTGTGTGATGGGCGGACTGGAGATATGATGGTGCTGGGAAACGTTCATCACAAACTGGTTTTATCTCCGGACTTCCAGGCTTTACTGGGCCAAGCTGCATCACAGCAGCCTCCGGGCCCCTGAGGGTCTCCCTGCAGGTGACCCGTAGACACTGTAGGAGGAGAAACTGCAGTAAATGTGTTGGGAAGAACAGTCTGAGAGTACACTGCTGAGAGTCACCATCAAGGTAACATGCATCTGTGTTTAAATCATGTGAAGTCTTTGAAATGAATCTTTTTAAAACACAGACGTTTCCCTCTCTGGGATGAAGATATCAGTGCAGTAAAATGGGCCATGAACCATCAGCCTGCTGACCACAAGGACCGTCATAGTGTGTCACTCACACGGACTGTCACAAGGCCTGATGCAGCAGTACAGTATCTGGATGCTGAGCTGTAGTAAAAATGTCACCACAGGGTTTTTCCCATTTAAAGAGCAGCTTCTGCAATGACCCAGGATGTGTGACAGACTCCTCCCACCAGAGGATGGCTGTGGGTCTCAGACACATGGGTGTGTCTTAATGGGGACTAGTGCCTGCTGAGTGGTTGGATTCAACAACAAGTACTTAACCACCAGATGACACCACCTGGCCCTCTCTCCTCCACCCAACAGCCTGTTACTGAGTGTTGCTTTGAGTGTCTGACTGAACACGTGGCCAGCTGGTATATTAGTATCAGCTGATTTGTGTCTGGTGCTAGGACATTGACCTTCGTAAATGAGGTCATTTGTAACCCGTCCACTGTACATGTGTGTATGTAGTCCAGTGCAGCAGCCTGGTCGGAGCGAGAAGCCTTTCTGTTGAACCCAGGTCTGTTTGTCAAAGTAAAACTTTATATAAACTGTTTTTGGTTGACTTTTATTTGACAGGGAAGCTTGGGGACCGTTAGAGCTTTGTTTGTTATTTTGGCATTGCTCACTGCTGACGTCAATAAATGGCTGCATAGCATTTTGAAAAGCGCTGTTTTGGCTCCTACTTTCGATTTACCCCTCGGCCACGAACGTAACAGCGTTTCAGGAAACGAGCTGAAGAACAACCAGCCTGTCAGGACAGCAGGTCATCGTCAGTCACAGCGTTCCTCATTTGTTCGACGCATGTTTTGAGCCAGAAACTTCAAATGTTGCATGAATGTGTCACACAAAGAACCACAAAGCCCTGAAAGGTGAAGTCAGTAACATGGATCACTGAAACACCTCGTCGTCATACGGCTGACATGTTGTATCCTGCCTGACACTGGGGGCTTCATGCACACATGCAGAATCATTTCAGGCCATTTAGAAGAAAAGTGTATACGAAGGTTTATTGAGGAAAAAAAAAAACGCCATACAAGGAAAGACATAATAAAGCAGGATGAACATGGCAGCACAGAGAACTGTACACTCTACAACACAAAGCAGCTATCAGTACTACACTATGCTCTTCATAATAACAGAACAGACCAAATGTTACCGGACGTTAGCCGAGTACAGAGTGTAAAGCAGCTGGTTTCATTCAGGGTCACGGACACACGTTAAAGTTGCTACTGAAGCAACAGGCGTGACAGTAATGACACTAAAATTCAGTCAGGTTTCTTGCATGTGAACAGCGGTGCTCTGATCTCAAGAGGAAATGTGGGACCGCCCCGAGCGCTGCGTTTAAAGCTGCACACTCACCAGCACCAAGTATGGATTTATGTCAGGTTCAGGTAGAATCAGTGGACCTTACAGGACACATTCAGACTCATTCATTGTTGTAGGATTTTGTGTGGATGTGTTGAAGTAAAAAATGCAGCCCACATTATTCCTGCAGGTGTTCTAGGACGGCAACAGGAACCAGTTTGTTCCTGTCAACACCACAGCGGTACACGTCAGCGCTCTGACGCCAATAGGCTTGCTTCATTTGGCTCTCACACTTTTAAAGTCAAACTTGGTATTTTACTACTCCATCTAAGCCTGGAGGAGTGAGTCTGCATCACAGGGAAGGACTCGAACTCACAGGTACCTTTTTTACAAATGCTGCCATCGCGGTTTATCTGGAGACATCAATGATGCGGATCTGTCTGAAGGTTATCAAAGTTCTGTCCTGTCAGCTGAGACAGCTGGCTTTCAAGTCAGAGAAAAGCGAGGCCGAGCTCCGCCCGAGCCATCACAGCTCCTGTCACCTCCTCTGGACGCGTCTTATGTCTTCTTGGTGGACGGCGGGCTGACAGTTTTCGCTGATCTGCTTTTTGTGGTCTTCTTGGAGGGTTTTGACGTTCCCGTGGCTTTCTTCACAGTTTTAGCCTTCTTTATTACCTTCTTTGTTGCCTTCTTGGCTCTCGCAGCAGGTTTCTTCTTGGTAGACAGGGTCCGCTCTCGGATCAGGTCTTCTCTTCCGATCTCCACCATGTGGTCCTCCCACGACTTCATCTCATTCTTGTAGCGAATCTTGTCATCCTCAGCGAGCTGCGTGTAGACCTGTGGCACAAATACAAATGTCAGAAGACCCGACAGCACTCATTAGCATTCCAGCTACAAGGATGAAAGGTGCGTGTTGCCGACCTGTTTCTGATGGCTGAAGAGATTCCTCCAGTCCTCCAACAGCGACTTCATCTTAGCCTGAAACAACGACAGGAGCAACTATTGGCCAAAACAACCCTGCAGTGTCTGCTTAGCTGCTGACCAACACAGAACAAGAGAAATGACTGGAGCAGCTGTCAGGGTGCTGCATCAGCACCCTGACAGCTGCTCCAGTTTCACCTGAATCTGTATTCCATCTCAAACTGGCATTTCCATTTAGTCCAGTTTCTGCAGGTGCACTTCATGTCAGAAACTCTGGCTCTGTGTGTTTGCTGATATGGAAAACGCATCCATACCATCATCATATAAAATGACCTCATTTGTACTGGTGCTAATCTTTTTTCCGCTCACACTAGCGCCTCCTGCTCCTCACATCATCTTACAGGAGCTGATGTTACGTGGTGTTACTGTAAAGTGCAAGAGAAGCTTCCCAGCAAACATCAAACATGACAGACGGAGAGAAGCTGCCGGGGTAACGTCCCACCGGCTGACTTCACTACACATCATTAGTCATCTGTGCCGCGCCAGCGTGCCGGCATAAACACCAAACACTGAAACTCTGATACCTGCTGCAGGTTTTTAAATCAGGGTCACACTGACCCTCGATCAGTGCACTTCCTGACCTGAGACGTAGTTCCTTTAGCCTCCTCAAAGTGCTCCGACATGAAGATGTTGAAAGGAGAGCGAGGACGTTTGGGCTTCCCCAGGTTTGTCAACTCCTGGAAAACACACACACACACACACACACACACACACACACACACACACACACACACACACA